TGCCTAATGATTATGCACAAATGATGCAAAGGTGTTGGGATGTGGATCCAACCAAGAGACCAACTGCTCGAGAGCTTCTCCGATTTTCTATTAATAAATCACAGGAAATTTACAAAAATAGCAGTGATATTGGTGGTGATGATGGTAATAATAGTGGTAGTAGCAGTAGTAGTAATAACAATAATAGTAATGATAATAGTGATTCACAACAAATTTATAAATCACATCCATTAGCATACCATACAAGCAGAATATTAAATGATGAAATTGTTAAATTGAATTTAAGTAGTGATAACTTATTATTATTAAATTATGAAATATGACAAATTAAATATTTAATTAATTGAAATTTAATTAATAGTAATAATAATAATAATAATAATAATAATAATAATAATAATAATAATAATAATAATAATAAAGGATAAGTAGTTGAAAGGAGGGGTTGATAAGGTTAAAATTTCAAAAAGTTGGGAAATTGTTGATGGATGATTGATTTCACTATTTTTATTTAACAGATAATAAAATTTATAACCGTTGGTAAAAGTATATAAAGTAATTCGGAAATATCTCTACGATTTACTCTGCATAGGGAATTGATATAATGATATAATTCGCGATGTTGTTTGCCACAGGTCACAAGTATCACAATCAAACGCCGAGATATGGTTTTAAAGAAGCTAATTATGATTTTTTATTTTTAAAGTATTATTAATTTCAGAGGTGCTATATCCAGTATTTATTCTCATAGAAAAGTCTCGATCATTCTTCAGATCGATAAAAATATTTGTTTATCATGATATACGCTCTTTTAGTTCGTTCATGGTTAAAACAAAACAACGAACATTCTAAAAAATTGAACCGCTCATCAATTACAGTCTACACTCGATATAGTAATCTACTATAAGGAAGTTGAAAATTTTCCCGTTTGATTATAATGAACTCTGTGAATTTGAAATTGGCCAATCAAATATGGGAATCAATTTGTAAATTTCAAAGAATGCATTTCACTGTCGTAACATCATCCATCATCTTGCATTTATTTTTAATAAAATAAACAAATATTGACAAATATACCCGTATAAATTTTTTTTAAGCTTTTCTTTTAACTCTTTACACGTTATTAAAAAATTATTGCGTTACACTCCTTATAATTTCATTTTTGATATATATTACTTTTGATATCAGATATTATGGACGTGATTTAAAAATACATAGACTCGATTTATTTCTCCAGCGTGATTGGTTGACATATGCCATTAAAATTATTCGCCATGCGTAATCCATTGCTATCTATGACAATGAATATTTTTATTCGAATTTCTTCTATAGAAATTGGTTTTTTAAAATAAATAATTTTTTTACCAGTTATTATCAGATTTCCATTATAAACCATATTTATTGTATGTCTGCCTATGAAATGTGACATGCTGAAATTTCCATTATTGCATGTCTGGCATTCCAAAATTTCCAGATGGAAATTTTGGAATGTTTCATAGTCGGACATACAATAAACCAGTTATTGAATACAGAAGCATGCAATAATTACGTCAAAATTGACTAAAAAATCGAGAATGGTTGTTAAAATAATGTCACTTACGTGCCACTATTTTAAACTCAGCAATCATTCTGATTTTTCCATTATTGCATGCTCCGCATGCAATAACTCATATATACACAGTAGTAATATTAAACAATAAGAAAATACTTTACTAACTCAACTTTAAATTGTAGCAGTCATTCTTACTTGGAGTGAGTAATTTTTACTATGGGATGTGTATCTTTTTTTTTGGATCACTAGAAACCTTTATTTTAATAAAGTATATTGAAATTTTCATATAAATAGCACGTGATTTTCACAAATATTCGTGTCATTTTACATTATTATTATTATTATTATTATTTATTGATTTATTTATTACTTGGAAGAATTTAACTTGGGAGTCTTTATCTTCTTCAAATCGCAAACAACACATCAAAAGTCAAGTGATCAAATCAAAAATTAATAAATTACAAATTTATTTTGATTATTAGATATATAACAATAATGATAAATACATGCATGCATATTATAAACAAAAATGATGACATTAGTTATTGCCAATCCTCTATTTAAAATTTATTATTATTATTATTATTATTAATTATTATTAATGAATTATCTCCTCTTAGAAAGAGGTGTGTCACTCAAACTTGGAATTTCTGGATTTGGATTATTTGCAGTTGCATATCCCAACGATTCTAAAACGGATATAAGCTTGGGTCCGATTGCACCTCCAGCAAAATTTCCACCATCTATAACTGCTTGAGCCAACGTTTTAGCTGGAGGTTCTTGAAAAGTCATTAGGAACTCAAAGCTTTTCAGGTACAATGCTTGACTCGCATGACTAAGACTTGATCCTGGCATATAAGGGTTTAAACTGGTTTCCAAATAAAGAAATGGATCATCGGCAGTTTTGTTTGGTGTAACTGTTTGAAAATCCAAGCCTTTTGGTAAGAAGCCAAGTGTTAAAGGTGTTGTAGCAGTTGTTAACATATCAGTTACAACTTTAAATTGAGTGGATGCTGAAAAATTGGCTGAAAACTCAGTTAACGAAGCAAACTGTGTGCCTTTTGGTGCAAAAGTATTTAATTCGGCTGTCAAATCGCTTAACGTCTTGCCAGTTGCCATCACTCTTACAAATCTATCAAATATACCATCTATGAATCCATTAAATATTAGTGGTGGATCTTGTGAAGCATCCAAAGCTTTTGCATTAAGTGGTGGTATCACTGCTGTTTGAGTTTGAGGATCATTAACATCCCATAATGATAAAAATCCCAAACCATGCATGAATTCGTGCAATGTCATATATGAGAATGATAGCTGATTGTTTGCAATCGGTGTTGTATCATCATCAAACCAAAAATTCAATTCAGAGCTAAATTCTGCTACTATGTCAGAAGGTAAAAATTCCGGATGTGATGGAAGTTCGAATTGTTTTACTAATCCTTGTGGATACACTCTATCTACTCCATCCGAGCCTTTCAACGGTATAAATCTAGACACTCCTGTTTGACCTAATAAATTAAAAAAAAAAAGAAATTAGAAAATTTCAAAAAAATAAAAATAAAAAAACATTATTTTCATTCTTATTACCTATTACACCTGGAGATAGTGGTTTAAAAGTGATGTCTACAACAATAGGTTCTTTTAACATTAGAGCTTTGGTAATCGTTTCTCCTGTAACACCCAAACTTTTTTTGACTTTTCCACAAAAATCTGCATTTTGGCTTAGACACTTGAGGTTGATTGTAAACATATTGGTATTTGCAGCTTGATCTTTAAGGGTTTTTGTTTTTGGCTTTTCATCGACCACTGCACAGCCGACTGATTTAACCTTGCGTACTTGATTTGATGTAAACTCATGATCGTAACATGTATGCGGTTCTGCTGGTGCTGGTGCAGAAGAAACGTTTGTGATATTAAAAAGTGATATTAATAATAACAATAATAGTAATAAATAATTCATTTTCTCAAAAAATAAATTTTCTTTTTTCGAAAAATAAATTTGCTTTATCAAAAATAAAATTTGTTTTTCAAAAAATAAGGATTCGGCAATTAATTGATTTTTTTTTTTTTTTTTAAAGGGTCCATTGCGTGGCTATTTATTCATATTTTTGTGAATTATTATTTGTTTATCTCCACAGTTAATTTTGGAAATTTAATAAAAGATTTTTGAATTGCAACAGATGAAACAGTACTTATTTATTGTTTATCATCTATATTTAGTTAATTTAATTAATTATTTATTTATACATTTTTTTAATTGCGTTGTTCTCTAAAAGCTAACAAGAAGCTTAAATCTTGATTCTAGAATTTATAAACCGGTTTTATTACAAAATGAAAAATGAAAAAAAAATTCTTTTTTGGAGATGTGCAGATTTATATGAAACTCGGGAAATTCATCCTTGATAATGGCAAAATTGTTCTAATTTTTTGCTTTGTTACACATTTTGAAAAAAAAAATTGGTATCTGTTATTGTGTGTGAGAAATTGTAAAACGTGCTTGGCCATCAATACACATAAAAAATACAATAATTTTTTATTTCCTAAAGATTGATAGATACCATAATACTTTAAAATAATAGAATGTATTTGGTAATAACAAGTATATTAATATTTATTGTGTGTGACGGTTGATTATCTCTGCGAAACAACTTGGCACTCATTCTCATTAATATTCAGTATTAATATGGAACCGGAAAAAATTTTGGCCCTTGAGAGACTTTAAAAATTTGATTTATTTTAACTCCCTAAAAAAACAAACGGGGTTTTTTTCTATTAGATAACCTTCATTGTTTATTTTACGTGAGGTTTGGGTTTTTTTGTTTATAAAATTATGGCATCCTTCTTCTACGACAGTTATGATTCATATAATATTTTGTTGTTCAGATTTGAATTAGATTTGCAGTAGTTATAGTACTGCATGAGCTGGACAAGCTGAATAGCCTATTAAACCATCTTGAGTTTGATACAATATATCCTGGACAAAGTTTTGGATACCCTAAAACAAAATCGTACAAATAACGATTAAAAGTACTAGTATAATAATTAATAATAACCAATATTTATTTTTATTTACAACCACACCTGAATTTATCAATATTTTGTTGGCCACCCATTATTCATAATAACTGCTTCCATTCTCCTCGGCACACTTTCTAACAATTCTTCTTGAAAAGCAACCTCGAGTTCATTTTTATCAATCACATCTTATTCGTTTTTGACAATTGTCATCTTGAAATAAATCCACTCTGTTAAATGGGGTGATTTCTAGCAAAATATGGATCATAATAATAATAAATAATAATAATAATAGTAACAGCCTGCAAAATTATGTTACACATATGTTTGTTCCTGTTTCTAATTTTTTATTGGCTGATGCTTATCAGAAGTAGTATATAGAGAGAAACAACAAATTAGTTGTTTCTCCTTTGTTTCTACTTCCAAATTTGGGAAACGATTTTTAACAAAAAAAAAATTCTTAAAAAATAATAAAAAAGAAAACGAGAATATTAAAAATAGTTGTACAACAAACAACCTCAACTACAACAAAGTGTTCATATTCAAAAAGTAGCTTCTATTAATAATGACAGTGACAAGGTTTTACCCAGTTCAAAGGACAGCTTCTTCTACCAATTATGATGAAAAATAACAACAATGTATTTTTTATCCAAAGGGATAATAATGACAAACAAAAACGACAAAATATTTATCCAGTCCAAAGGGCAATTCGCCTTCGCCAAGACTTTCATATGAACCAGTCACTTCTTGAAATAGATTTAGAAACAATGTCTCTTCAATTCTTTCACTTTAATATTAATATTAATTATTATTATGAAAAACACGTAATTTCTATCATGTAGATCAGCACCAAAGATAGATATGGCCTGACAAGTATTGTGTTAAACAAACATGGTCTGATAGGTCCCTAACCACATATTTCTAGAAGTCCCCAAATTGCAATTCTAATTTTTTATTTCATATTACTGTATTAATATTAATAATATCTTTACTTTTATTAATGGACCCTAACAAAATACCTTCGTATCACAGTCATGTTTCACAGCAGTATTAAACCGTGTAGAAGATCACGATGACAGACCAATAATAAGAAAAAATATTTATATCATTATTGATCGTTGCTCTTTGTTCAGCAGGTTTAAGATTGTTCTGATGAAACCAAGTATAAATACCAATTATTTGACCTTATATTTATTAAACTTTAAAATTATAATGTTACGCAAATTTTTAGAACTTGAATCAAAATTTTGGATTTTGGTCGATTCTTTTGTTTCAAGGAAGGTTAGTATTATGAATGTTATGAATATTGAAATTAACAATACTCGGACTAATTGGAAGGAACAGACAATGAACAGCCAGTCGGATCAAATGAATAACAATAACATTTATTTACACATTAAAATATAAAAAAGATGTTGTCTATTTTTATTTTTTTTTGATTATCATTTTTTTTATATAGGCAAGATAGAAAAAAATAAAAGTCTACACGTATATTCTTGAGAGTCAAGGAAAGAAAGAAAGAAAATTGACCATTGATATTGAAGAAAAAAAATTTTTTTTTTATCATTAAAAAATATTGATGATCGATAAATTTTTTTAAAATTTAAATTAGAAAAAAATTTTTTTTTAAAAGTTTCGGAGTTTTGAAATAGTTATAGGAGTTTCAAACTTTCTCGGATTTACAAAATAATTTCGGAGCTTCGAAACTAATGTTGGTCGCCAAAACTATTTTAAAAAGGCGCAAATCAAAACTAAAAATTAAAAAAGTTATGTCAAAAAAAGCCAAAACTAGTTTCGACTTGTGGGGAATCCTTTTTCGCATGTTGTGAAACTCTATAGGTTTGGAAATCATATATATATATATATTGTTGTTATTATTTTAATAGGTTACATAAAATTGTAAAAAAAAATACATAATGGGGATAAAAAGAATATCATTTATAGCAATTGATGTTCTTGGCAATGTTTATCTCAATGAAGAAAGACAATTAAAACATAATTGACTACATATGAGGATAATAATATTCCCTTCCATTTTCTCAATATTTTCCTAAAATTAATTTCGCCACTTCTCTTGTTTACTCTCTCACATTTACACTATTACGTTTCAAGGGCACAGTTCGTGACGTCACCAATCACATGGCAAAAAATCACACGATAAATTTTTTTTGTAAAGTTGCGTAATTTGTTAATAAATCTAATCTAAAAAAGGGTAGTTTGAAAGTCATATATCTATGTTGCAAATCCTACAAGTGTTTTGTTAAATTAAGGAAAACTAAATGGACAGTCTTCAAGTTAATCTTAACAACTTAATTTATAAAAAAGACAAAACTGTGTTAATAATATTTCATTTTTATATTATTATATATATCGTAATAAATAGAAATGAGAGCACCTTGGCATGAATTATCAACATGAGCAAGCAATTTTAGTAAGGAACATTTTTGGAATGGTGATATATTTGCTAAATATTCAAGTAGTTATTCATACAAGTCTCCATTAAGTATAATAATCTATTCACAAGTATATTTTATATATTTGCAAAGTTATCTGTTTTTTTTTTAATTATAGATAAATTGATACAAGAGAGTTGTTATACAGGATATGTTATTTACAAAAGCAATAGTAATTTTAAATAGAAAGATATTAAACAGTTATTTGGAGGTAAATTTAAATGTTAATTTTTTAATTCACAATTTATCCAACAATTGGTGACAAAGTTAGATCGGTAATACGTACTAATTAATTTATGATTGGAGATTGAAAATGTCATCCACTCGTTTGCTAGTTCTCATTCATTCATTCGCCTAAGCTCAAGATCCTGTAAAAGCTTGGACGTTATGTAATGATGTATGACGAAACTTTTGACTTTAGTCATTGACGTAACTAAAGTATTGACTAAAGGTAGTTTCTCATCAGGGTTATTTTGACTAAAAGTGAAAGCCCTTGACGTAAGTAAAACCACTCGACGTAATTAAAAACGCTTGATCCAATTAAAAACACTTGGTACAAGCAGCAATAACAATAATGATAAAATAGGATTATCAAAAGTTCCAAATTATGTAAAATTGTGTCCCGGAGTGAATAAAGAATCATTATATCATTCATTGTGCAATGATGCAAGAATAATTATCATGAGAAGTTTACAAATGTTATAATTTGAGTTAGAAATTTTACTTAATTTTTTCCGTATATTTTCTTTCGAATTTTTGACTTTGAAGTTAACTACAGAACTACGTGTAATAGTAATACGCAATAATATTAATAATGTGCTTGAGTATCTGAGTTTGAAGCAACATAGGTTGATCAATATTGGCACTTAGAACGACCTTTACAT